CGTGCACTCACACGTGCCTATGGCACAGACGGTCTATCACTGGGGTCTAGCAGATGGGTCATATCCACTACCTCGAACCAAAGTACATCGGTGTCTCACCATCTGCCAAATCGCAGTAATTAAGGACACGGTTCCCTTAGTTCCCTTTTATTCCCTCCCTTTCAACTGTTATTTTTATTCTTTGTCCAATTTACTTGCTCGCGAGACCTAACCCACTCCCTCTTGTTCTCTCGCGCAGTTTGCCAGGACACGAATGAAAGCGCTGCGCATAGACCCGACGTGGTACTACCTTTGGGTTTAACCATCTTCACCACCTGCGCTCTGGGAGAGCTGAGCATGAATCTAGACGCAGGTGTGATGAGCACCACAAAGTTTGTCTGCAGTCCCCTGGAGTTTCCGACAGCGGTATCCGGACTTGGAGGAGATGGTGGGGCGATCTCTGTCAACGTGCCGTCGGTGCGCAACTCTGATTCCGCCATTACGGCTGCTATTGCGGAGTTCTCACATATTTTGTTGGGTGCCGTCCACGAGAGTATTGTTTTCATCGATGATCTCATTGGTAAGGCGGTGTACTGGGTAAAATATTCAGTCGTTGCACTGACATAAGATTCAAAGCTTTTTACACTTCCACCACAGAATCACAAGGTGTATAGATCAAATAAATGTAAGCTAAGATGGAAAATGTGAAAAAGGGTTAATGGAAAGGTTTTACCAACAACGAAAAGAGCGAATACAATTGCCATTTAATCTCTGTTTACCATCAGTTGCCAGTCATATCCCAGCCTCTGGGTAGTAGACATGCGACCTGACCCTGAAGCCGTTGGTTAAGGAGCATTGCACTGATACACTATACCAATTGAGTTCGACGAGGTCCATCGTGTGCTCCACAGCAGGGTGGCACAGGGGTAGGGACTTGCGCAGAATAGACTTGCTCTACATTTATCTCAGTCTGTTTAACTTTCCCACCTGGGCGGAGACCCACGCACTGTGGGCTAGTTCAGCAAATTGGGCGACGCATACACGCTATTGGCTGAAATCAGGAACCTTTCCAATGACCTGGGGGTACTGTTGATAAATTCAGCCAAATAGTAGGACACAACTGGACGTACAACTATCTACGGTGGCTCTAGACTGGAAATTCTAAAGGCGAGACTCAAACGCCCTTTCCATCTTTAACTCAGAAGGAATCGATGGCCGGCGCAGGATTCAAACCTTTTTAAACTTCCGCTTCAGAATCGTGTGGTGTATGAAACAAATAAATGTAAACAAACATTGAAGATTTTCAAAAGGCTAACTGAAAAAGTACTAACTACAACACAAACGGCGGATAGAATAAACATGTAACGCCTGTTTTCCGTTGTTTGCCAGTACTACTCCAAGCCCAGACGGACGGGCCTGCGACCTGACCCAGAAGCCGTTGATCAAGTGGCATTGCACGGATACATTATACCAGGGGAAACATGCAAACGCTTGCTATCGGCCAGAAGCAGAAGTATTTCCAATAGCCTCGAAGTACTGTTCATAAATGCAGCCAAATAATAGAATAAAACTGGGCATGCAACTGCCTGCGTTGGCTCTAGACTTGGAGCTCCGAGACAAGACTTACGTGCGATTGTCTGTCTTAAATTCGGAAAATATCGCTGGCCAGTGCTGTGCTAACCTCACTAGCATCTCGTATGCCGTCTTCTGCTTGAAAAAAAAAAA